CCGTGTCCCCTGCATCGGCAGGGGGACTCTCAACCACTGCACCACCAGGGAAGCCCCCTCAGAGCTTTCTGAAAGACTGGCTGCCAGGTTATAATCCTCAGGTTGGCTCGAATAAAAATTTCATTTCTTTCTTAGATTGACTGTTGATTAATTTTTTTCATGGATGATGCAATAAACGTTGCATTGCATATTTACTGACAGCTGTCTATGATCTGTGTACCATGCTGTAGTCCAGTGAGCAAAACAGCTGCCCTCAAGAAGACTGTGGTCCAATGGGAAAGACAGACATTTTTTAAAAACTTCATAATAATTTAATAATGAAACTAGAACTGGAGTAAGTTTTATGAAGAAAATCCACAGAAGTGGTTAAAGAGGGGAGTCAGGAAAGTGACTGAGAGAGGATGGGGGCCCGGGTAGGGGAGTGGCTGAGGCAGGGGAGCAAGAGGTACCGCTTTGAGGACTATTTAGGAAGTAAAATCAAGGGATTTGGTAGCCCTTGAGAAAAATGGAAATCAAAACCACAACGTGATACCACTTCTCACTCAACCAACCATCAGGATGGTTAAAACCAACAAGACAGGTAAATGTGTTTATGAGGATGTTGAGAAAATTGGAACCCTTTCACATTGCTTATGGGATTGTAAAATGGTGCAGCCACTTTGGAAAACAGTCTGGCAGTTCCTCAAAAAGTGAAACACAGAGTAAACATATGATGGGTCAATTCCACTCCTAGGTATATACCCAAGAGAATGAAAACACATATTCATGCAAACTTGATCACAAATATTCATAGCAGCATTTTCATCATAACCAAAAAGCGGAAACAACCCAAATGTTTATGAGCTGATGAACTGATAAGCAAAATGTGGGATATTCATGCAATGGAATATTATTTGGCCATGAAAAGGAATGAAGCACTGATACTCTCTACAAAGTGGATGAACCTTGAACACAAGCTACGTGAAAGAAGCCAGTCACAGAAGACCACCTGGTTCCATCTATGTGAAATGTCCAGAATAGGCAGATCCACAGAGACAGAGATAAATCAGTGATTGCCCAGGGTTGGGGGAGAAGAGAAGGAGATGGGGGGAAATGCGGAGTGACTGTCAGTGGGCAGGGGGTTTCTTTTAGGGGTGATGAAAATGTTCTAAAGTTGATTGTGGTGATGGATACACAACTCTGTGAATATATATTGAATTATATACTTTAAAGGGGTGAATTGTATGGTCTGGGAGTTATATTCTCAATAAAGTTACTATATAAAAAAGGCATGTAAGAGAAATTCAGGGCTTAAGCTTTCTTTTTCTTTTTCTTTTCCTTCTCTTTCCTTTCCAAGAGGGGAAAAAAAAGAATTTGGTACTGGGCAGGATTAGGGCATGAGGGAGGATGTCCAGGTCTCCGACCATCTTATTGAAAATGACAAATGGCTCAGTGGCCTCAAGACACGAGAGGGGACCCTCCTCAGAGGCCAGGGGAAGCCGGGACTATGAACTGTGCTTTTGAGAAAAACTAGGAACCAAATACCTCATGCCCATGGTAAACTGGCTTCCTGTTTTCCAAAATGCTGAGAACATTCTGAGACTTCAGTGAAACAACCACCTTCAGGGCTAGCCCTCTGACAGGGTGTGATTCAAGCTCTCAGGGAAGAAAGCCCCACCCAAACCATTTCTCTCTTAGGAATTTGTCTCCAATTTCTCTTTCTACCACCAGAGAGACACTCTCAGTCTCAGACTTTTCTTTGTCAGGCGTCTCCAGTTAGAATGCAAATATGCCTGGAAAAGTGAGTCCCTATGAATTATTAACACTGTAAGTCACTCTATCACACTATGGAATGAACCCAAAGTTTCACAAACATTCCTTGAGGTCCAAGTGACGAGGGGAGAGAGGAGAGACAAACATCATAACATTTTAGAGCTGGAGGGGCCAGGTGTTGTCACTGTGGGGGGTTTACAGCATGGCCACTGCAGCCCAAGAGCAAGGGGTTGAATCCTGCCTCTCCTGCTGCTGGCTGTGTGGCCTAGGGCCAGCTACTAAACCTCTCTGTGTCTTGGCTCCTTCTTCTGTACAGTGGGGACAATGATACTGCCTTCCTCACAGGACTGATATGGGGAATAAGTGAGTTCATATATGTGAAACAGGCCCGCAGCTGGCTCATGGTGGTACACACTCCAAGCATTACACATTATATCACGGTTTGCTATCAATATTAATTATTAACAATGAGGACCCAGAGGGGAAGTTAGTAGTTCAACGACACTCAACTAGTTGGTGGTGGAGACACTCCACGAAAAATTCTGTTTTCACTTTCCAAAGCATTTTGGTATTTTTTTCTAATCATCTTATTTGTTTCTTTCAGGCCAAGAGTCCTTTTTCCCGGCGGAAAGTCCTTGATGCACACCAGATTCATGTCTTTTCTCCTTACATATGAGGAACCCAAAGGCCAATGTGGCCGTGGTCACACAGCCACCAGGGGACAGCCAGCCAGGCCCTCCCCACCAGCCCTGAGCGGCCCCTGGCAGCCCAGCCTCTGTGGCCTGAGCTGGCCCCCCCACTTCCACTCAGCTCCTAAATCCCTCCTTGGCTTCACTTTGTGATTTGAAGGTTCTTTTACAGTCACCACTGGAATAGTTCTGTTTTGATGTCTCCTGGGACACCTGGCGCATATTCACCCAAAGGGCCAGGTCTGCCCTCAGGCACCTGGGAAGGGGCAGCCTGCATTCCCCTGGATGGATCCCTGGAGAAGGCCCCCTTCCTTGGGGGACTGCAGGAGCAGGGGGCTGTGATCAGCCCATATCTCTTGCATGTGACCGTTTAGTCATCTCCTTTCAGAATGTATCATTCGTTTTCAGGGACCACCACGCAGAGTGTTTCTGTTCTTTTGCAGCCCCACCTGGGGGCATAGCTGGGCGGTGCACTTCTTTTGAAGAGATGGCACAGACCAGACCAGGGCCCCCCTGACCCCCAAATCCCTGAGTTCTTATTACCTCACAGCTCGTTTTCTATAAAATAGAGGCGATAACATTTGACCTAACACGTTCTTGTTGTCATGAAGTCCACAAGACAATCCCTGTGGAGTGACGCAGTAATATCTAAAGCAGGCAATCTCATGGGTGAGAGTGCTACTGGCATCTAGTGAGTAGACACCAGGGATGCTGCTCAACATTCTACAACACCCAGGCCAGCCCCCCATGGCAAAGAACTATTCGGCCCCAAAAGTCAGTAGTGCTCTGCTCTAAAGGATGGTCACAAAATAATAACACTTATGGGGGATCCACTCTGTGCCAGGTAATTTACACACATGATCTCATTTACATGTTCCAGCATCCCTCTGAGGTGGTATGGTTATTATTCCCATTTTATAGGTGAGAAAACCAAGGCACAGAGCAGTTAAATAACTTGCCCAAGTTCCCACAGCTAGAATAGGATGGAGCAGGAAT